CTGGGAGCCAGGACTCCTGGGTCCCCCCCGCGCAGGGCAGGGCAATGACAGAGGAAGGGAAGCTGGAGAGGTATTTTTAGCCGTCATTAAACATTCAGGGCTGGAGCCGGCGGCCGCCGAGCCGAGGGGAACACGACCCCGCAGCCGCTATTTATACCGGGGCTGCGCCAGACCCGTCCGCACCCTCCCGGCGCCTGGCTCACCACCCTGCCCCAGAGGTGGCTGCAGCTCCGCACCTGGGAGCTGTCCCCGGGTGCCGCTGTGGGGCTGCCCCGCCCGCCAGGGGAGCGCGTCCCACGCCCAGCCCACGCCCCACTCCCGCGGCTGCCCCATGTTCTGGGGAGCGGCTCCCACCCCACTTTGTAGGGGACGTGGTGCCAGGTCTGAGCCCGGCTGGCTGGAGGCCCAGAGCCGCCTCTGGGCCAAGGTGACCCCGGCTGGAGGGAGCGCGAGGGGAAGCCACAGGACGGGGACAATTCCAGGACGCGGGAACAGGTCACGAGGCCTTTCCCCCGTAGGGGGTGCCGGCCCCGAATCATCCCATGGCAGGGGGGCGGGGACCAGGACGCAGGGCAGCAGAGCGCTTTGCTCTCCTTCCATAGCAACAGAAGCGACTTGGAGAAAAGAAATAGGCCGTGGGAACCTAGGAACAGCCACACAGAACGCTGCACGGGAGCGGCTCGCTCAGCGCCGACATGCAGCCACCTCTGGGGCAGCGCAGCCGGGGAACAGCCACACAGAACGCTGCACGGGGGCGGCTCGCTCAGCGCCGACATGCAGCCACCTCTGGGGCAGCGCAGCCAGGGAACAGCCACACAGAACATCGCACGGGAGAGGCTCGCATATAGAGCGGCCAGACTGGGGCAGACCAAAGGTCGCTCAAGCCCAGTGTCCTATCCACCGACAGTGGCCAATGAGCCCCTCAGGGCGAGACGGGATGACCAGCACCCCCCCCACAACCCCCCAGCAGACACCCGCAGCCCCCACCTCACCTGAACTCACCTGGAGGGAGAGGGGCAGTGGGGGAGGGTTTTCCCAGCATGCTGTGTGGCAGGACTCACCCCCCACCCCGGCTCCCTGCCCCCCCCGGCCTCGTAACGTCTGGGACGCCTGGCGATGAATCCAACCCACTGGGACAGGGAGAAGCCCCCCCGCGGCCGCCCCCACCCCCGGACACTGGGGTTCTCACCGATGCGACTGTCCATCACGTAGGTTTCGATAATGGCGCTTTTCCGGCACAAATCCTCCGCCATCGACGAGCTGCTCACCTCCAGGTGCTTCACCTGTGGGGGCAGGTCAGAGCGCCCGAGCCGGCGCCCCCCCATCCCGCCGCAGCCCCCCTGGCCCCAGCCCGCCGCGGCTGGCAGCCCCCCCTGGCCTGAGCCAGCACCCCCC